AGAGAGAGAGAAAGAGAGAGAGAGGGAGAGAGAGAGCGCGAAAGGATGATAAAGGAGACAGAGATACAGCCGGTTTAAAAAAAGTGTGAATGAATAATAGAGGCCCAGTTGTGTTTTGGACACCTTTTCTAGCTCTAGTTGTTGAGGAGTTAGTGAGCTCCGACTGACAATAACAGCTAGTATAAACATTTATGTTGATTACACTACGCTCAACAGAAAGATTTATCTGGTTATCGATTAAGCCGTTGGAAAGAGAAATACATTCCACGATTTAACGAAAAATACGTTAACTCAGGGACAATGACATGGTGGAGGGGGGTGGGGGTGGGTGGTGTATAGTGATCAAGTGGTAAGTAAAGTAAGCTCAGGATCACAATAATGAAAATAATGCCAAGCAAAATAATAGTAAATATATCGGTGACATGGCCTTCAGCGGGTTGTATCCTCGAGCAAGACACGGTCATTCAGGCTAACAATTTTAATACAAGGCGTTGAACGGTGATGACCAGTTATGGTGTGTTTGTATGATTAGATACATGTATTTCAGGAAGCCCTTTGCCTTGACCTTGGTCTTAGTGGCCAACCTGAGCTAAGAGGGACACAACGTGCCAGCAGACGGACGGTGGCATTAAAACAACAACAAAAAACCCCAACAAAACAAAACAAAACAAACAAAATAAAACAAAAACAAAAATAACAAAATAATAACAAAGCTGCTCAGTCGCACGAGAATCGAACTTATTCTTCTGCGTGGGTCGGTGAAACGCCTAACTGCTAGTTGTGATTATGTTATGCATTAAGTAATAATAATAATAAATAGCATTTGTATAGCGCATATCCCCGCTCAACTGCAGGCTCTATGCGCTTTACACTATATTATTACCCCAGCAGACCACTGAACACTCCGAAACATTTTCAGCTTCCCGGGAAGCATACAGTGCAAGCAGGTAATTAAGCGCTCAAACACTAACACACTGACAAGATCTTTCGCTGTCTATAGCCGGGAACCCATTCCCACCTGGGAGAAGTGAGGAAAATTCGTGTAAAGCGCCTTTCCCAAGGACACAATGTGATGTTGATGCGCTATGTACGTATGTAGACATATAGTACAAGTAATTAATGTATAAGCACTGTACTCGCGATGTGTGTATGTATAGTTATTGAGCAGACTATGTGCTGTTGAGGCTAGAGAGGTGAACAGAGTAAGCCTGATTCCCCTTTTGGATTTCTGTGCTGACATCCACCCCTGGGCTGTCAAATTATGACCTTATGCAGTTGCGAGCGCCGTAAAAACCTTACCAAAACCAAACTAAGTACATGTATAGTTATTGTACCAGCAATATAATTAATGTATTAACGATGTACGTGTGCGTACGTATTGTACTAGGAATATACACATGTATACGAATTGTACCGGCAGTTTTAAACAAACTTTTCCGGACGGCGATCATTTAAAGGGCTGCTCCATTATAAAAAGAAGTATCCATTCAACGAAAGATCTATGGTCTCGATAGAAAAAAAACTCCATATTTCTTCTCTTTCATCAGGCTGGGCGCTTCATTGAAACATGTGGGTGTGGTTGCCAATTGGACAGCGGCAAAATAATATATTGTTGAAAAAATGAATGGGTAAACCCCAAAGGCCGATAGGGGCCCTTTTGCGGAGGTCTTTTTCTTTTATTTTCTAGGGGGGGGGTGGAGGGGGCAAAGAAAACGAGCATGGATGAAAATAACAACCCCCACTCCCCACCGCTATACCCTCCCCTCAGAACAACAACAATAAAAACAACAACCGCAACAGCAGCAACAACAAACAGACAAACAAACAAACAAACAAACAAACAAACCGCCAAACTACCTCCCGAGAGAACACAAACCTGTCATTCTTTTCTTTTCCGTTTCCCCGTCTCTCTCTCCCTCGTCTCCTCTTCTCAGTCCTCCCTTTTCCCTCGTACCATTTCCCTTGCACCTGTTTTTTTTCTTTCCCTCCTACTCTTCTCTTCTACCCTCCTTGTCCTTCTCTCTTCTTTTCACTCTTCTTCTCGTCCTTCTCTTCTCTTCCCTTCTCTCTCCGGACCTTTTCCCTG